GTCTGGGTGCCAGACTGGCCTGCCTGCAGTCCAGACCTGTCACCCAACATTTGGCGCATCATGAAACGAAAAATACGACAAAGGAGACCCTCAACTGTTGAGCAGCTGAAATCCTACATCAGGCAAGAATGGGACGACGTTTCATTTTCCAAGCTCCAGCAACTGTTTTCTTCAGGTTATCAGAGTGTTAAAAGAAGAGGTGATGCAACAGTGGTAAATGTGCAACGTCCCAACTTCTTTGAAACATGATCCTGGCATCAAATTAAAATTGAGCTTATATTTTTAATGAAACAATAACATTTCTCAGTTTCAGTATTTGATATGCTGTCTTTGTTCAATTTCCAATTAAATATGAGTTTATATGATTTGTAAATCATTGCATTCTGTTTTTATGCAGCCTCCCAAATTTTTGGAAACGGGGTTGTAACTTCCCAATGCTCAATCTGGCAAAGGATTTCACCTGAAGTACCACCTCTGGGAAACCTAAGGTATCATGAGCCTATGAGCCTTGATTTGTAACAGAGGAGATTGTGGGAAAATAGGAAAGTGTTTAAAATAAATGCATTCATGATACTGGAGCATCGAAATAACAGGTACATGAGTACATAAGTATATATGATTATTAGGGTATAGTTTTATTTCACGATTCAGGGTAAATGTATTAAATAAATTGAGTTACATGGCTTAGACAGTATTGTTGAACAATACATTTGTTTTGTGTGCCGGTGTGTTTAGACTCTAATATGATAAATTTGCTATGTGTTTGAAATGTGTGTTTTTTTTTTTTTAAATGTTTCAGATAATTAGCGGTATTTTTTAAATCGTAGGCCTGGTGATTAGGTTCTGGACCTTTCAGTGCCCTGGGCGATTATGAACTGTCACTGGCAGAAAAACAGTGATTCATTGATGGCATGAACACCCTGTGGTGGATTATTGGGTAGAGACTGGTGTCCGACTGTTTCTGCTCTTATGAAAGTCAAGCATCACAGCCAAAACCTTCATGCTGTCTTGTTTTCTGACAGACATCTTATGCATCTTGTTGGTCTAGATTCACGTCTTGGCAACAGAAGAGTTCACCAGACAAAGACTCCTCATCAATAGGCTGACGCAAAACCACATTCCTCTTACTGTAAATATCAGCCCTTTGATGTAAATGAAATTTTCAATATTTTCAGTTCACCCCCCCTCCTTATTTGAAGGAATGTTTTTCTTTCCTTGTAAGAAGCTTAGATGTTTTCACATGTGCTTTATTTATGATTAGCTTGTCATTGAGCAACAGATATCTAAACATGCAGTGAGGAAAGCCTGTTTTTTAACCAGAAGAGAGACATGCACGTATAATTTATTAAGAATTACTTTTCTTTTGTTAAAGCATTCCCTTTGATATTAAGTGGAGTGCATTCATATTAATACATGAACTAATTTGTAGCTCACTATGACTGATGTTGTGTTTAGTTGGAAATGATGCCATGACAGGATATTTCTGTTACATGTATGATGTGGCCTTTGCTGCATCCTTTTCCATCATCGAACCCTGTAGTAACCAGTAAGAAATTTCCAAATCTTTCCCTAATTGTCAACTGAGACAATAACTAGTTCATACCATCACCTTCTCCCACATGGCATCTGTAAATTATACACAGAATATTAACATATCTAACACGATTTCTTCTTGATTTGCCTAAAATATCCACTTAGAACAAGTTTTTCCATTCTTACAACGTTGTGTAGTCTGAATAATTAAAGAAGTCATCCCTTTAATACTCATGAACTGGAAAATTTAGCATGCGCTATATCTAAAAGGGTATGTTTTGCCCAGTGTTGATGACAAGAAGTCCAAGGAAACATTGAAACATGCCTTTGAACTTAGTCCAGAAAAATAATTATAAAGTATGCTAAATGACTGACTGTTAAGATGAGATCAGGCTATGGGCAAAATTACTGGTGCAGTTGAGAGACCACAGAAAAGCAGGAAGACCCCAGTCCATGCTCTGTCTTGGACACATCCTTCCTCCACAGTCACTGTAGCCTGTGTTCTGACACACTAGAACCTTCTTTACCATTTCCCTTCCAGGTGCTCCTTGACTGGTACACTGGGGCCTTCCCTGATAGCTGTTCTTTGTGATAGCTCCTCTTGTACATTGTCTGCTTGGGCTAACTTCTTGCTTTGCATGGGGGAAATGGGTAATCCACTGTTATCATACTGTATGGGCCCAGATGGCCATAAGGAGAAAACAATAAACAGACCCAAAGAAAATTAATAGAATTCTCTACAGTAAGTATTTTTATGAATGGCTTGGTGGTGCAGTGGTCAGCACTGTCACCTGGGACCTGGGTTCGTGTCTGTGCCAGGGTTCCATTTCTGTGGACCTTTATGTTCTCCCTGTGTCGTCGTGGGGTTTCCTCTGGGTACTCTGGTTTACCCCCACAGTCCAAAAATATGCTGAGGCTAATTGGAGTTGCCAAATTGCCCATTGGTGTGTGTGGGGGGGTGCATGGTGTGTGAGTGTGCCCTGTGATGGGTTGGTGCCCCATCCTGGGTTGTTCCCTGCCTTGTGCCCTGTGATGGGTTGGTGCCCCATCCTGGGTTGTTCCCTGCCTTGTGCCCATAGGCTCTGGACCCCCCATGACCCTTAACAGGATAAGTGGTTATAAAAAATGGATGGAATATTATTATGGATGAATGATTTCATTTTACATAGTTGCTTGTGGACATGACAATGAAATTAATAAAAAGTATAAACAAACATTTAAGCAGGAATGAAGTTCAGGGCATTATAGTCCAAATGTGTCCAAATAGTATCGACTATAATCCATAAGAACATAAGAAATTTGCAAATGAGACGAGGCCATTTGGCTCATCAAGCTTGTTTCGGGAGAACTCAACTAATAGTTTAAAAGTGTTAAAATCTTATCTAGCTCTGATTTAAAGGAACCCAAGTTTTTAGCTTGCACTGCACTAAGAGGAAGACTATTCCATACTCTAACTATGTGCTGTGGAAAGAAGTGCTTTCTCAGACAAAATGTTCTCCCTCTAATTTCCACCTCTGCCCATGAGGTCCTGTATTTGAATTTAACTCTTCTAGCACTGGGGGTAGAACATAGAATGTGTTAGCTTCCCCTTTGAAAGACAAGAAGTGGGTTACCGTGATAGAGACAGTGGACAGAGTAATGACTTCATATGTATTCTGAAAGCTGAAGCAAGCAAACTGTCCTTTTTGTTTAGATTATGTTTAGGACGGTTGTTTAGCAAATGGCAGTGGTTATGTGGCAGCCTGTCACATATTTTTAGTTTTATGTTTTAAGTTCTCCCAGGCCTGCCTTATTAAGTCAAGGATTAAATTTGAGCATTAGTGCGTAACCTCAGGTGGATGGGAGCCTTGGACGAACACAAAGCTGCGCCTAGCCTGCAGTACTGCCGACTGCTGGATCTTTGATCTGTATCAGTAAGGCAGGAAGTTCCCATCGCTGGAGCTGTGGAACAACATTGGGGTAGGGTACAGTGGGGTGGGGGGTGTGGGTGGGGGAGCGAAATAACAGGCTTTACTCCCCCTCTTTGTCCCTCTCTTTCTCTGAGCTCAGTCAGTGGCTCTTAATCCAGTTTTGATAGCTTTCACCCTCCCAGCTTTCAAATCCTTCCAGGACTGTGCACAGCCATTATCATTTTTTTTTCTCAATTATTCTCCAGTGCTTATAAGCAGAGTGAAACATTTGTCAAAGGTTTCCAAAATCCAGAAATGCTCCTTTTTAGAATCCTTGGTTTTGTTGTGTAGTAAATGCTGCAGTATAGTTTGGCAACAGATGGTATTTCAAAAAATGTGTGCCCCAATTGCTCATCAGTTATTTGAGCTATTCCACATGTTTATGGTTTATAACATTTTATCAAACTGAAGAGCTGTTATGTTGCTACTATGGGATCTTTTCCACTGCACCAAGTACGGTACTTTTGGTATTTTTGATTTTTCATTGACTTCCAGTAGAGTACCAGTACCAGTGGTTCCAGTACTAAAAGTGCCAAACCAGCTGGGTTACTTCTTTGGTACTTGAAATGCTGTCTTTGTCGATTGGTTAAGCAAATAGTCTGCCTCTGAAATGCAATACAACCTCTGCCTTGAAAATAGGTGCAAACTCAGAAATTAATGCTAAACAACGTAAAAAAAAATGTGATTTGGTCATAACAACATGCACAACAAAAATATCCAGATGGCATGACAAGAAAAAAAAAGGATGATAAAAGGTATCTTGTTGAATGTACTAATACAGGATGTATATTGTCACGACTGGCGGGCGGGCGAGCAGGAAAGCAGGCGAGCTGAGCCATGAAGTCGGACAAACAGGGTTTAATAGTAATAGGACTAGCAGACGAGGAACAACACATGACAATACAATGACGGATCTGGGCAAGACTGACTCAGACGAGGACTAAATACAAAAGACAAGCTAGACATAACAGGACTCAGGTGATCACAATCAGGGCTGAACACGAGGTAACGAGGTGGGCGTGGCACACATCGGGATCGAACGGAGCGGATCGTGACACATATAGCATGCTGTCAATTTTGTTGTAAATATAGCAATGTGATTTTGTTGTAATAAATATTTGGGTATTTATAAAACAAAAAAGGAGGAGTTCATAAATTTCTCTCAATCCCGTCTTCGAGTGATTTAAACAGCGAAGATGAAAATGATTATGATTGACTCGGAGAATGCATGCAGCACTCATGCAAAAGCAGCGGAGGTAAATTTTAAACTGATTTTTAAACATATAAGAATCTGTAAAAGGAATAATAGTCAAAATTGTAAAGCTTGCTAAGTTTTTTTCCTATGACAGAGTACCAGTTTTTACACCAGTAGAAGACCAACACCTTGAAGTACTGTATTTTTGAAGTACCAAAAGTATGGCAGCTGCTGTGGTGGAAAAATGCCCTATAATAACTGAATTAGTATGTCTGTGATACAGCTTTGCTAACACATTCATCTATTCTTTCCCTATGTTACAGGAATGCCCACTGTCCTTACCCTAGTAGGGCTGTTTTTGGTAACATCTCTTCCGAGTTCCAGAGGCAACTCAGAGTTGAGGTTCCTGGGGCAGACGCACTTTGTAGTCAATGAAAACAGCAGTGCAGTGGTACGCTTGGTGGTGGAGAGGATTGGTGAACCGGTCAACATTACTGCACTCGTGCTGGTAGGTTTGGGTCCCCACTGGTGTTTGATCAATTTCTTTATTTAAACGAATCTCCTTCTAACAACAGTTTGTACATTTATTTATTTAGCAGATACTTTTATCCAAAATGTTGTACAATTGAGGAAGCAGTACTAAATCATTCCTTGGGGCAATTGGAGTTATGGACCTTTGCTCAAGGGCCCAACGGTGATATCACCCTGCCAACCACAAGATTTGAGCCGATGACTTTCCAACCCCATGTACAGAGGCTTAACCCACAGAGCCACACATACTCCCCTAGAATCAAACAGTACACCAGATGTGTTTAACACTGCAGAAGTGGCTTACCTCAGTTCTTTGATTTGTCTGCAGAAGCTAACATCTGCCTAGTCTTGGCTGCTAATATCATTACTAGGGCCGAGCATCTGCACACAATTAGTACTGTTCACATTTCCCGCCAGCAGTGCCAACAGTGCCTTGTATCCTCAGCAGTCATAGGTCTCCTCTGCACACATGTTGTCAGGAAAAGAGAAGTGACCTTTTTTTAATGTGGGACATAGTGGGTGGCAAAACAACTGGGCTTCTAATTGTCACCCATGTGGAAATGTGTTGGGGAATTTGGTAGCACAGCAGGAATGTTTTGTACCTAATAATGCATCAGCTCAATATTGACGAATTAGCAGGCATCCCAAAGGCATCTTTAAAGTCTCTAGAATATTTTTAAAACAGGCCGTTTACTGTTTCTTATACCACAAACACTATAGGTTTTATGATTTGTACTGTATGATCTTTACTCCCAATTACTACAGTTTCTTTAGATAGTTAAGCACCAGTCACATCCTGCGCCAGTTCATGGCTATTGATGTACTTTTCAGTTTGAGGTATATAGTAGAAGCGAATGAGACTGTGCTCGGCTTAATGTCTCTGTTCTGGCTTGGTGACACAGCTTGAGGGAGATGACACAGGGGACTTTGAAGCCACAACGGCTGCAGCATTTCTGCTGGCCTCAGAGACTAAGAAGACCATTTTCATTGCTGTGAGAGACGATGACCTGCCTGAGCCGGACGAAACATTCATATTTAATCTCCGACTGCAGGTACTGTGCTCTAGCTTGTATTCTTCATTTTTTAATGCAATTTATAGTAGCATAGTAATGTTCAAAGATTGTACATGTATGTTAATTTGATAAATGTCCTTCTTCTCTTTCTAACCTTACCCCTGGGTCTGAACTAAACATTCTAGAAGCCTCACTGTTAATCATTCTTTTAACACAAGAAAGGAAGTCTGCAACACTTTAAAGGCTAAAACACAGCACTGTGTTGAATTTGGCTTGCCTCTTCCACCCTGAGAGAAAGGCTTGTAAAATTTAATGTACTTTGAAGTATTGTATAGGCCTACAAGGTCATGCTGTTGTTGAAGAAGTGTTAAACTACATTGTTGTAAGGCAGAACTCACCCTTACAACCATCAAAAGCCTGACAATTGACTAAACAAAATAATAAATTAAACAAAGTAATATATTGGAATTTGTAAGCAAAATGCAGTTTTATTAAAATAGTATTTTGTTATTATTGTACTCTAAGAGTGGTGGCTGGAAACATTTTTTTTGCAGAAATTTTCATATTGATTAAAACATGACTTGGTTAAAGTCTTTAATCTAGAGGGCATGGATCAGTCTTGGGATTTCCTGTTTGGAAAGGAATTCACATATTGCATGTTGGCCACATGCGTCACACCTTAGGCCTCGGTCTGTGTAGCAGACTATGAGTAAGAATAATGAATAAGTGATTAATGACTTTCAGTGCTAACTCAGTGTTTGCCTGTCTGGCCTGTGACAAATGTGGGAGATAAAATATACATATTAGCTAGGAAGAGTCTGCAAGTCAAAAGTTAAAGGTAAAAATTTAAATTTACAACAAAATGCCCAGTCTTATTCACTGGATGCATTTTGCATGTGGTGGATATCATGGCAGCTACTAAAATTAATAAGAAGTTAAGTAACTTCTTTTCTTTGTGGACTCATGAATGAAGTTTTAAAACAAGTCTGCTATGTTATGAAAGCTACATCATCAAAACAATCAGAACATTCTATACATGGGGCAGTCAGAATGGCATCTGGTATGTACAACAGTCACCACAAATGGATTGTCACATACACAGCATGGCAGAACCCTCCATGGCCAAAGTCAATTGGCCCCAACCTGCCCTCCCACGTCCTCCGGCACAGTGCCGCTTCGCTCGCCTGGCATGGTTGGCCACTATTGGCAAGAGGGCCCTGGTGCTGAGTGGCGGGGAGTCTTCGTCCAGAATGAACCGACATGCAGCGCTTTGCTGGAATTGTGAGAGCGTGTGTATTTTTTGTCTGCGTGTCTGCAGCTACAAGAGCAAAGCACCTCAAAGAAAGCTCTGTTATAGCTGGGAAAAGCTGTCCTGAATGGGGAGTATGAATAGGGAGGCTATGCTATGCCGTAAGCTTTTGCACTGAATGTCCCAACAGTATAAGTGCCTGTTACACCACCCTGAAGTTAAAGTGCATCTTTCTTTAAGCAGACTGTGGATTTTTGTGTATGTATACAGTGTTATAAATGTGTATTGATTTTTTTATTTTTTTTTATGTGTTGTTGATCTTTATTTTAATAAATATTTATATAGAGAGATTTTGAGATTTATGATTATCCAGGCTGGAAAAGTTTCAGTTGTAATTACAAAGGCATTACAGAGAGATGGAATATTTCTGCTTGTCCGTTCTTATAACTCTAACCATAAACATTTAGTAAGTGCCTAATCAGGCAACACTCAGTGTTTAAAAAGTGAAATAATTTAATTCTTGCATAATCTCACAATTAGTAATACATAGGAATACAGTGTCATATATTATTTTCTTTCTTTGTAATATATACAGGTTGTAAATCATATAGCTCTTCTTATGATTCTGAGTGAAGGTGCTTCTCAGTGTGACATCAAATAACTGGGCTTAGTCTCAGAATGCCTGTCGGAAGCCGTGATAATATGGGCTGATTTATAGGCTGTCATGTCTGACAGTGAAGGGGGGCAGTCTTTTTATTGTAGTGCTCTGGCTTTGGGGTGGAGTTAAGGCACCTGTAGAAACATCTTTTATTGCTGCTGTCCTTTCAGAGTTCATCCAATGGTGTGAGGCTGGGGACCCCCGGCAGAGCCACCATTACCATCCTGTCCAATGACAATGCCTTCGGAATCATTTCCTTCAACTCTGTAAGAAAGTTTGGATGTCTTAAAGGTTTATTAAGAACTTATTCCAGTCTCCGTACTACCCTTAAAATCACATACTGAATTACTGTATAGACAGAATGTATATTTATATAAGGATATTCTAAAACATTATTGTTAAGGTTCATGTTATCTGAGTAATTCCATTTTAAATTAAATCCCTTTCTTTTTCAAATGAGACAGGAGTATCCATGACGATGGGAATTCCCAGGGGGTTGCTACAAGCAGTAAAAACATCATAGAGCAAGTTTGTTCAATAGATTAACTTGTCAGTGGGAGTTGCATGTTGTCATGGGAACCACTTCTACCTTCCCTTTTCCCAAAGACTGCAGAAGTACACATTATGTCACTACATTGGTTACCACATTAGTGTTTAAGTGGATCTTTCTCTTTGTCTTCCCTACACAGTCCTCTTTGGTCATAGTGGATGAGCTCAAGGGTAGGAACCAGTATGTGCCTCTCACCCTAATCAGAGAAAAGGGGACTTATGGGACAGTTACTGTGAACTTTGAGGTAAATGTTGGCTGACCTCTGCTTCACAATGTTCTGACTGATGACAGATGGCTGATTATTATAAAAGCCCTTTTGTAATCTTCACCATTATATCTATATACTATATCTGTATCATTGACCCCATTTAAATCAGTTTGATTTAATTGTTAATGTGTAATAAACGGAAAATTGATGATTGGCAGCAAAATTCTAGTACCCATGTAAAAATGGATTTGTAAATCTCCATTAGTAAATTAGTGATCTTCTTGGTAATATGCTACTGTGAAGTTTATTCAGTGAACGGTCTAATCAACTCAAGAGGTTTTTGAAACTGTAACATGGAATAATGAGTTATAATATGGCAATATGCTTCTGTTAGACTTACTGTAATATTAGGTCTTCTTTGTGGATTATCTCTGTTTATGATGGAATCATATGCTTTTTCAAAACATGATATAATTTCTCTAAGACTGTCTGCCCTTTCTTCCTACTGCAATTTAATTTTATAGATTTCAGGTGGGCCCAATCCCCCAAGTGAAGATATTACCCCAGATAGAGGGAACATTACTATCCCCCCTGGTCATGCAGTAGTGGTTTACAGTATCGTGATACGAGATGATCAGGTACTTGTAATTTTCTTTTTTTGGTCAGTTATTTATCAGTAGATTTGGTGTGGTGACACATCCATGTCCTGTCTTTCTATCCAAATGCATTTTTAGTAGCAAGACTGCCTTACAGATTGTAATATCTCTGACTCTAGTTCAGCAGTAGTAATACAATACACATCACTTTTGATCTGTGGCAGGTACCAGAGGATGATGAGGTCTTTATTGTTCAGTTGATGAGCGTGGAGGGTGGCGCCCAACTCAATCCCAACCGCAGCATTGTGCATATTAAGATCAACAAAAATGACAGTCCCATCCGCTTCGCTGTCAGCATCATGCTGGTGCCTGAGACTGTGGGACTGGTGAATGTCACCGTGACTCGCGGCAGAGACGAGGAAGGCCGGCTCATTGGGTCAGATGCCACTGTGATATCCATTGACTACACTGTCATCAGCGGCAATGGCACGGCCAGCGCCATGCTGTCCTCAGATTTTGTGGACCTGCAGGATAACTGTACACTTGTCTTTCCACCATATGTGTATGAGGTCCATCTACATTTCCGAATCATTGATGATAAGGTCCCTGAAATTGCAGAATCCTTCCAGGTGGTGCTGCTTGAGAACACCCTGCAGGGCGATGGGGTCCTGCTAACCCCCAGTGTAACCCAAGTCACCATAGAGCCCAATGACAAGCCATATGGAGTATTGTCAATCAACAGTGGTCTTCTTTCACAGGTTATTATTATAAATGAAGACTTGACATCCAGGTGAGCATCCTAAAATAGTAGTTCAATTCCAGAAAGTAAAAATCCAGACCAAGAGTTTGTTTCACCCAACCAGTTGAGCATAAAGAGTTGCAGTCACAGAGTATTCAACTGGTTGGTTGAAACAAAATTTTGGTCCAGATTTTAGCTTTCTGGACCTGAATTTTTTTTAAATCAAGTTGTAAATCTGTTATCAAAACAGTTGAGCCCTTTTTAGATATGATGACTAAAATGACTGCGTGTATTTTATTTCAGGTTTGAAGGGATCTCCATAGTGAGAAATGGCGGAACACATAGCAATGTCTCTGTAAACTGGATAATCACACGAAACAGCACTGATCGGTCTCCCGTCTCCACTGATCTGAGGCCAGCTGCAGGGGTTCTTCGGTTTGCGGCTGGGCAGATGTTTGCTACACTGTCCCTGAACATCACCAACGACGACCTGCCTGAGGAGGCCGAGGCCTTCATCTTCAGATTGCTGCCCAGCACTGTGGCAGGTGGAGCTGAAGTGGATGAGCCAATGGAGGTCAGACTTGTATCTCGGAACGTGGCTGTCAAAGCTCTTTGCTTTGCATGGATAGGTGGAGTTACTGATTTTATCCCTGTTTAAAAAGATCCATATAACTGAAAATGGTATATAGTCTCATTTGGTGCATATATGTATGCTATAAGAACATAAGAACATAAGAACTATACAAACGAGAGGAGGCCATTCGGCCCATCGAGCTCGCTTGGGGAGAACTTAACTAATAGCTCAGAGTTGTTCAAATCTTATCTAGCTCTGATTTAAAGGAACTCAAGGATTCAGCTTGCACTACGTTATCAGGAAGACTATTCCATACTCTGACTACACGCTGTGTAAAGAAGTGCTTCCTTAAATCCAGTGTAGTCAGAGTATGGAATAGTCTTCCTGATAACGTAGTGCAAGCTGAATCCTTGAGTTCCTTTAAATCAGAGCTAGATAAGATTTGAACAACTCTGAGCTATTAGTTAAGTTCTCCCCAAGCGAGCTCGATGGGCCGAATGGCCTCCTCTCGTTTGTATAGTTCTTATGTTCT